CACACACACACACACACACACACAAATAATTTAAGTATAATCCTTCCTTTCACTGACATTTATTGAGTGCCTGCTGTGTGCCAGGAGCTATCTGAAGCATTGGGTTCTTCTTGTTGTGTACCATGGAGTTGGAACCAACCCATAGCTGACCCTCCAGCAGGTTTTCAGAGACAGTTAATTGCACAAGAGGAGATTGCCCATCTTTCTCATGTGAAGCAGCTAGTGGACTCGAACTGCCTACCTTTGAATTGGCAGCTCGACTCCTTACCACTGAAGCTGGCAGAGCTCCCTTGAAGCACTGGGTAGAGCAGAGAACCAAAGACAAAATCTCTATTCTCATTCTCTCATTGCCAGTGGGGAGACAAACACGACACACTAGTGATGAAGTCAATCTTGTCAATATGACTGGTAAAGCACAGCAGTGCTTCTGGGTGCCAGGTCTGGCCACGCCAAGCACTTGCCCACAGGGACCGATGGAGCTGAACCACCTGAAGGTGGTGGCTCTCTCCCCATTGCCCAGGTGGGGACACTGGGCCAGCTTCTGAGTCCTGGCCTAATGCACCAGCTCCGCCTTGCTCTTTGATAAGCCCCACTTGTCCCCCAGCTGCAGGCTCAGGACCAGACCACATGTGCCCCTGATGTTAGACGTCATCGATTCACACCCTGCAGCAGAATCAGTGCCTGGCCCTCGGCCACCTCACAATTGTGGCTGCGTTCGAACCTGTTATTGCAGCCTCTGTGTGAATCTGTCTTGTTGAGGGTCGTCTTTTTTGCTTACCCTTCTCCAGAGAGAGGTCCCCCTGATAACGTCTTAAAATACATGTGAGCTTCTGAGTATTCTGGCTGGACCTTTTCCAAGACCACATTGTTGTTGTTGTTGTGAGGTGCTGTCAGGCCAAGTATGATTCACAGTAACCTTATGAGCAACAGATCTAAACCCTGCCTCTCCTGTGTCATCCTCACAACCTCCGACACACTCAAGTCCATGGCCGCAGGCACTGTGTCAACCCACCTGGTTGAGGGTCTTCTTCTCCTTCGCTGCCCCTCTACCTTCCCAAGCATGATGTCTGTCTTCAAGGAATAGTCTCTCCTAGCAACATGCCCTCAGTATGTGAGATGAAGCTTCACCGTCTTTGTTCCCAAGAGTAGACCACAAGGTCCCTAATTATCCCCAGGGGCTCTATTACCGTACCCTGAGCCGGGCTTGGTGGGTGTCTGCTTTAGTGACCCTCTCCCCTCCCCAGGTGAAGCTGGCCTCCTGGTCCAAGGAAAAACCAGGAAATTGGTACAGCACATTCCGCAGAGGGAAGAAGGTGAGTCACCGGAGTCAGGTGGGAGAAATAGTATGAAAATGAGTGGGAGCTGCCAAGGGGCTCAGAGTGTTGATGTGAACAAGACAGACTGGCCGCTGCTGCCCTCACGGCCATGCATGGTGGAGACTGTGGGGCCTGAGATGGTTATTAGCCAATTGCCATTCAGAATGCTGGTGCCCCAATGGCGAAAGCACAGCACATGGTGGAAATCCAGAGAGTGCCTGGAAGGCCCCTGAAGATCTTCTGCTGGAGGATTTGAGTTGGCAAGTTGGGAGAACAAGAAAAAGTATCGTAGGCAGAGGGAACAGCATATGCCAAAGCCCTGGAGGTTAGGAGGTGTATGTGGCTGGAGAGGAGGCTGCCGAAATGGATGAAGGTCAGGTCATGAAAGACTTGTGGGCAAGAGGGAGTCATGCGGCGTGTCTAAACACTCAGGTCAGATCTCTTTGTGTTAGACAAACTCACCAGGGGCTAGTGTGGGCAGTGACCTGCGGCCATGACCCCTGGAGGGAGGCTAGTGTGCTGGTCTAGGAGACTGAAAGGGGATGTGGATTGAGGCAGGTGCTGTGAGATAGAGAGGAAGTCATGTCTAGGAGGTCAGGTCAGCAGGACTTGATAATCAATTAGCTGGAAGTAAGAAAGGGTTAAAGGTGATGCTCAGGTGTCTGGCTTAGGAAACAGTGGGTGAAGGTGCTCTCTGAAATGTGGAAATGAGGGAAAGAACAGATTTGCATGTGGGAATATTGAATTTTGTTTGAGATTTGTTTCTTTAACATATATTTATATGCTAAATAAGGGGATGAAGTAGCAACTACGACAGTTTCTGACTTCATGAAGGTGATAGTCTACGGAGAGAGTCTAACAATAATCCAGAAAACAAATAAAGCTGTATTAGTACATGAGAAGGTGTCTCGGTTTGAGTTCCCCCCAAGCAGACTTTGAGATAAGATTGCAAGTTAGTTTATCTGGAAGGCAATTCCAGAAAATCTCACTTGGGGAAAGTAGAAGTGATATAGGGAAGAGAAAAAAAAAGTGAAAAAGAAATGTTATTCAGCCAATTACCTCAAATCAATTACGTTCTAATAATTTGTATCTGATCCAATATAACCAAAATATTGTTTTATCAAGATATAATCAATAGAAAGGCTTATTGAGATATTTTAGTTGTTTTTAACATCAGTTTTTCAAAATGGGGTGCACATTTTGCATTTATAGCCCGTCTCAACTCAGATTATGAGTTTCATTGGAAATGCTTGATTTATTTTTAGATTTAATAAAACCTTGACATGGAAAAATAGATTCACATACCCAAGTTGTTTCAAGCTGATCACTGGCTTGAGGCTCAGTTATTACTCACAAATTAAATAAAGGGGAGGGGAGACTCAGTACCCAGTCATTCTGGCTACATTTTTAAGTGCTCAGTGGTATATGTGGCTGGTGGCTGCCATATTGGATATGTAGATATAAGGAGCTCTGATGGCCTAGTGGGGAAGGAATTGTGCTGCCAACCCAAAGGCATGTAGTTTGAATCCACCAACTGCTCTGCAGGAGCAAGATGGGCAGTCTCCTTCTGTGCAATTTACTGTCTCTGAACGCCTGCTGAAGGGTCAGCTATGAGTTGATTCCAACTCAATGGCATACAACCACAATAAGAAGTAGAAGATATAGAACATTCAGGAGATGGTTCACTGTACTGATTGGGCATATGAGAGAGTGATTCGAGTTAGAGGTGAAATTGTGAGTTCTGTGTCTAGATGAAGATGTTAAAGGCCATCTGGAGATGGTGGGATAAGATTTGAGTAGTCACAGGAGCCAGCCTGGAGATCCACTGGTTAAGGAGGGAGCGGAGAAGGTGTGAAGACCGCTCCTCAGATTCTGCCAGGGATGCAGAGTTCTGGGCAGCTGGCTTGCTTGGCTGTTCCCAACAAATTCACAGGGGCGATGCTGTGACAGGTCTACCAGTGCATGGAGAGTCTACGAGGTGAGTCCCTTAGAAAGAGTTGGGGCTAATGAACACCCCACCTCCCTGTGTTGTGCCAACCCTAGTTCTCCTATGTGGATGCTGATGGGGCCCCCGTGAACGTGGTTCAGCTGACCTTCCTGAAGTTGCTAAGTGCCACAGCCCGCCAGAGCTTCACCTACTCCTGCCAGAATGCGGCCGCCTGGCTGGACGAAGCTGCCGGTGACCACGGTCGCTCCCTCCGCTTCCTGGGGGCCAACGGGGAGGAGCTGTCCTTTAACCAGACGGCCGCAGTCACCATCAGTGTCCCTTATGATGGCTGTCGGGTAAGAGGGAGAGACAGGGCTCAGAGGGGACGGGAGGGCTCGGCTGACTCTCGTGACTCACCGCCCTGTCTCTCCCTGGACAGCTCCGGAAAGGCCAAGCGAAGACCCTCTTGGAGTTCAGCTCTTCACGAGCGGGGTTCCTGCCCCTATGGGATGTGGCAGCTACTGACTTTGGCCAGACAAACCAGAAGTTTGGCTTTGAGCTGGGCCCTGTCTGCTTTAGCAGCTAAGAATTTGGGGAGTGGGAGGGACAGTGGAAGGAGCCCCCAACGGGGCATACTTGGTGCTGAGGCTTCCAAGCCATCGTATTTATCGTCTCCTGATTGGAACCAGGAGGTCTGTTCAGCATGGTCGAAAAATGTGTTCTTTTTCCATTGCAGAAGGCTGGGAGCTGGACCTTCCTGGCCCGAGGGTCCAGCTCCTTGCCCCAGGTGGCAGAACTGTAACCCAGTTCCTTTGGCCCCTCTATTCCCCCACAGCCCTCGACTCCTCGTCCCTAAGCCCCTGTGCAAGGACTTCCTAAGTCATAACTCAGAGCTGAGGATTGCCCCCTCCCCAGGCCCACCTCCCCATTCCCATCAGTGCCCTCAACACCCTTTGGTGCTACCCTCCCCCATAGTTAAGCACTGGACGTCTCCCGATCCCATCCCCCAAGGCTGAGACCCCCCCCCCACCTTTGTTCATTCCGGTTCCCAGACGGGTCCACAGGAAAGGGACTGAAGTCAGACGACAGAGGGAAGTGGGACTTCTTTTGGCTGCGTTGGGGCTCCTTCGACTGCCTTGGCCCAGCTCTGGATACTCCTCCGTCTCCCCAAGCCCACCTTGCTATGCCAGGTGGTTTGGGAACCAGGACGGTGGAGATGAATCAGGATCCTATTGGTGCTGCCCTATTTATACCTGGGTTTGTTTTGAAAGGGTATATCCCCTCTGTTGTATATTTAATCTGCTTCCTCCTTAGGGAGGGCTGGATACAGGGAGATAATTCCAGCATCCCTCCGCTCCCGGGCCATCAGGCATAATTGGCATCTCAAGTCTGAGAATAAACCAGGGAACTGTGTCCTTGTCTCTGTCTGCGTCTGTCTGTCGTCTGGTGATGCCCATATTTCTCCCAGGATCTGACTGTCTCACCTCAGGGATTTGCCACTACCTGTCTCAGCTGGTCAGGTAACCTTTGGTGGAAGGAGCTCTGTTGTTGTTAAGTGCCGTTGAGTTGTAAGCGACTCATAGCAACCCTATGAATGAAAGTCCTCAACACTTGCGTGACATTCATCCTTTCTCCAGGTTCATAGGGTTTCTGGAGGCAAGCTATTAGGGACGTGGATGCCACTCCTGCTTCCAAGCTTGTTTTAGTGGGGGAGCTCCACCAAACACTGTCTGCCATGGGTAACCATTAACGCATTTGACACATCAGTGTCACAGTGTTCAGCTTCACAGCCACTATGAGGTACCTCTGTACGGCAAGTGGACACACCGGGGCTACACCACCTAGAAGAATGTTCTCCTCCAGGCTCAAGAAGTCCATCCAGCTGACACTGAGACTCAGGAGAGACACTCATCCTTATCCTCCAGGCATGGCCAGACATTTCAGTATTTTGCAATTTCGGCACGCCCAAACACTGGCAAGTTCTGGGCCAGAGACCTCTAATTCATCTAGCAAGTCCACTCTGCGGCCACCCACGTGGGGCCAAAAGAAAGCCACAAACGCCCCAACGTTACCTACTTGCCTCTCCACCAGGCTCAAGAGAGCAAAAGAACTCTAAAAGGTCAATTATAATGGGATTCACTGGAGATGGTGGGCTTGTTTATAAGTTGGGTTGTTATTGGAGACGCTGAAACTAGTCAGCAATCCGTGCTGCTTTTGACTGACGCTAGGGTCTCTGATTGGGCTGAGGGGCTGCATCAAAAGGCAGCCTTGGCTTTAGATTAATGGCTTGGGGGCAAAAGGATTTGGGTGGCAAATAAGGAAGTGAGTTAAGAATACCAATGAGGGCTTTTAAAAATGGGGATTTCTCTCGGCCACCTTTTATCTTAATTGGTTGCTTCTTCTTCGTTCCTCATCCTGTGCTGGCTTCTGCCAACCCAGATATAGATTTGGGCCTCCTTTCCTTTTAATTCCATCCTCATACATCCTTAATGCAGGAACGCATGTGATAATACCAACATGATATATCCTTTCCCTCTTTCTGTGTGTACGTGCTGGAGTTTACACTTTCCTGCCTTCCCAGCAGTTAGGCTGGGACCATGTGGTTGAACCCTGGCCAGTGGGCTGTGGGTGATTATAAGTTCCCTTGCATGACCCTTTGTTCTCTTTTGTCTCTTCACCTGGTGATTTTGGGGATCACCAGTGTTAGATGGGGGTGTCATACATGGAACAAGAAAAGGGCCTGAGTCCTTGTTCACAGGAATGCTGCCCAGGAGACCTCCATGTTGGAGGTTATGTTATTCTGATATGACCAAGAAATGACTTCTTTCAAGTCTCTGAGATTCTTAGGGTTGTTTGTTTCAGCAGCTATTATTATAAGCAGGAACGGCATCCACTTCCTAAACAACATGCCTCTGGAAACTCTATGAACTTGGATAAATGTCGATAGTTATAGAAAGGCTTCAGTTCGTAGGGTTGCTGTGAGTCATGCTCGACTCGAAGGCAATCAACAACAACAACAACAATAATATGGTGAATCCAACATTTATCAAAAGTTGACATGTAACTGGGCATGTCTCATTGCAGGAAAATCAACGAATTAAAATGCAACACGAATATTCTCCTCCCACGTCCCCCACCATGAACTTCTCCCCAGATTCTAAGTTGTGATCTCCCCACCATCTGCTGCCTCTTTTCTTCTCCCTCCCACCCCCCGAGAGATCTCCTTGCCCGCTCTCCCCATCTCCTTCCTCCAAGACTGTTTCTATTTAAATCAACTTCCACTCACTTTCTTATGAAGGAGCAAACTTTTGTTCTGCTCTCTCCCTGGAGCCCAGATAGACTGATGGGCAGCAGCCATCATGCCCACCCTGAGTCATGGTGACCTTGTGTACAACAAGCGGATCCAGCCGTTGCGCAGCCAGCCTTCCGCCATGGTAACAATTGTCAGGACGTGCACTCCCATCACTGCAGCTCTCATGCCAACCGCCTCGCTGAGGACGTTCCTCAGCCTCTGTGGCCTCGGCTTCACCAAACATGATGTCTTCTTCTAGTGATTCACCCTTCCCGCCCACAGCCAATGACTCGAACAATGTTCTGTTGCGATCTGGAAAGTTTCCACTGGCTAATTTTCACTAATTACATCACTAAGTCTTTTCTGCCTGATATATCTGAATCTGGAAGTACCACTGAAACCCATCTACCATGGTGCCCCTTTCTGGTGGTTTAAACACCAGTGGCGTAGCTTCCAGAGCTTAGGTGGCCTAGTGGCAAGAAGCTGCACTGCAATCCTGAGGGCACACAGTTCAAGTCTACCAGCTGCTCCGTGGGACAAGGATGGACAATCTCCTCCCCTGCAATTAGCTGCCTCTGAAAACCCACTGGAGAATCAGCTATGGGTCAGTTCTGACTCGACAGTACATAACAACTACAATGATAGCAGCAGCCTAGCTTCCGGTATCATAGGAAGACACAAGCCACCACAGTAGAACACACTTGCAGATGAATGGAGGATAGTGAGACTAGTTAAAATTTACGGACATCTACATGTCAGGCACTGTCCATCCAGTGTTTTATCTGGACATTTATTTGATGCTCATATAAACTTTCTAAAGTACTGAAGTGCAATGATGTCAGTCTGAAGACTAAGGTGCACCTGATACATGCCATGGTCTTTGCAATCACTTGCTATGCATCAGAGAGCTGGACAATGACTAGGGAGGATAGAAGGAGAATTGATGCCTTTGAGCGGTGGTGCTGGAGAAAAGTATTGAATACACCATGGACTGCTAAGAAAATGAACAGGTTTGTCCTGGAGAGGGTTAAACCAGGCTGCTCCTTGGAAGCAAGGATTCTGAAGCTTTGTCTGACATACTTTGGGCATGTTGCAAGGAGGGACTAGTCCCTGGAGAGGGACGTCATGCTTGGGAGGGTGGAGGGACAGAGAAGGAGGGGCAGGCCTTCGATGAGGTGGATTGATTTAGTGACTGAGGTGATGGGGTGTGTCGGAGATAGTGAAATTGGCAGAGGACAGGGCAGAGTTTAGGGCTGTTGTACGTAGGGCCGGTAAGAGTCACAGGCAACTCGAGGGCACATAACAACAACATATAACCTTCAAGGGAACTCTGGTAGCATAATTCGTTGGACTTGCACTTTTAACCCATAGATGGGCAGCCTCTATCCTGTGAGATTTACAATCTCGGAAACCTGCTGGAGGCTCAGCTAGGAGTTGGCTCCAACTTGATGGCAGTAAAGTGAGGGCAACACCCATCGTTCATTGACGTTAGGTGCCATTGAGTCGACTACGACTCATAGCGACCCTATGAGCAACAGATGTGAACCTGTCCTATCCTGAGTCATCCTCACAATTTCTGATGCACTCAAGGCCACTGATGCTGTCACTGTGTCAGTCCTCCTGGTCGAGAATCTTCCTCTCCTTTGTCATCCCTCCGCCTTTCCAAGCATGATGTCCGTCTTCAAGGACTAGCTTCTCCTAGCAACATGCCCAGAGTGTGTGAGATGAAGCTCCATTATCTTTTCTTCCAAGGAGACCTCTGGCTGCACCCTCTACAAGACATAGCTGTTTGTCCTCTTGGCAATCCTTAGAATAATCATTGCTTTTCTTCAACACCACAACTCAAAGGCGCCAATCTTCTTCCGTCATCTTTATTGACTGCCCAACTCTCAAATGCATAACAAGTGATTGAAAAGACCATGACCGCAAGCAACAAATGCTGGCGAGGTTGTGGAGAAACTGGAACCCTTATTCACTGTTGGTGGGAGTGTAAAATGGTGCAACCACTGTGGAAGGCGGTATGGTGCTTTCTCAAAAAGTTGCAAATAGAGATACCATTTGACCCAGAAATTCCACTACTGGGAATATACCCTGAAGAGACCATAACTGACATCCAAGCAGATATATGCACACCCATGTTTATTACGGCTTTGTTCATAATAGCAAGGAATTGGAAACAACCTAAGTGCCCATCAACAAACAAATGGATAGAGAAGCTGTGGTATATACACACAATGGAATACTACGCTACATTGAAAAACAAGGAACTCATGTAATATTATTAAAAATGGGTG